ACCAGGGGCCCGATCCTGTAAAAAATGTCAAGAACTCTCCCTTTCGATGGACTTCCTGGCGTGTGGGAGGCACCTGTTACGTGTTCCTGCTCCCTGCAAAGGAACAGCAGCCTTATCACCCAGCTCACCAAGGAGAGGATCGAGTCGGCAGCACTCGCTGCAAAGTACGTGGCACCCCTGCAAGATAAGGCTGTGGCACCAGGAGAGTTAAGCAACACAAATTTTTCCCTGTCTCCCATATAGCGAGAAAAATCCCAATCCTAGACTTTCAGCTCCAGCAGAAATTTCTCATCGGTTTCAACTCCTTTGCTGCAGGAAAAACTGCAAGATCTCACCCTAATCCTGCACGTGCCTGTGTTACCACGGGTTATAGGTTCTACATAGATTCACAGATCCAATAATTTTAAGGCCAGAACGCATCACGGGGATTATGTACCCGATTTTTTTGGTGTAACACTGGTCACAGAACCCCACGCAGTAACTCCTCCTTCAACTCTGCAACTGTGATTTGTGGTAGAATATACTTTTTAGGCTTTAACCCCACCTAACCTTAAAGACACAGTCCTAAATGACATATCAAGGGATTAATTAAACTTGCAGTTGAAAGTTCACTTTGTTGTTAGCCTAAATGTACTGCTACCACCTCTACCATCCTAGATCTCCCTGAATTTCTCTAGATTTCTCTAGCTTATGTTTACGTTGAACCTGGGAGTGTCTTTGGGCTAACTGTGATGAATTTCCGAAGTCTTCCAGCCTAAAACATGAGTCCCAGGTACATGATCATTCTTGTAGCTCTTTTTTGAGTCTCTTCCCATCTCGCCTAATAAAGAAATCTGTGAGTGGAGCTGTGCACTCCTTGCACAACAACTTGCAGACTCCTTAAACAAGGGAGTTTAAGCTAAGGAATCAGAAAGGATAAAGAAGAAACTTTGCATAAAACAGAAAGGAGTAAATAATTAAAAATATGTTAAGCAATCACACAGAATTCATTAGTTAATGCTGTAACTGTTGTGCCTGCATAAAATCACCCTCTAAAGGCAAATATAGTTTTATTACAGGATATATTTCACCTGCTCGGTAATTATGCTGTTTAAGGTGACTGTTAATGATAAAGCTGCCACTAGACAGGTATTTAGAGTCGAAAATTGCCTGTACAATTAAAAATAACTCCTTGAAAATACACGGGCAACGCGCAGCAGTTCCTGTGGTATCCAAATCCTTTTCTATTCTTTAATCAGAAACCAGAGGAAAGAAAAGATAATTTTTATCATGTTGTTCCTGTTGAATGCACAGCATGGAATTACAGAATTTACCTTTGAGTGGCTAAAAAGCAGATATTAAGAAGAAAATGAAACCACCAAAATAGACTGCTTCCAATGACCGAAGCTGGAAAAAAATTTATTTCACATCTATTGCACATTTTATTATTCATGGTGTTTGTTTGCTTTCGGGGCTTTCCTCAGCTTGGACAGTGGAAACACATTCATCCGTTTCTTTTTTGGCTTCCAGTCGGTTTCACTTTCAGATTCTCATGTTTCACACTCCAGCCTTCAGGTTTCAAGCACTGCAAGGGAATACTTATTTCATTTAAACAAACAAAAAACCTGCGGCCGCCGGGCGCACACACAACATGTCTATTGGTCTGCGGTTCACATGCAAAGCTTGATCCCATACCGTCCCCTGAAGCATCTTCAAGATGGTTCCCTGGGATTTGCAAAGAAAATAAATGAAATAAATAGGAGTGATGACGAATTAAGGATCTGTTTTGCAAAAACCCAAGAGTCACCGCATTTTGCAGCGCTCTCGGACTAACGCCGACAAAATACCATTACATATTACCGGTTTCATGATACCCGCGTGTCGGATTAACGATGAGGAGCAGTGACACCAGACTTGACGACCTGAAGAAGAGGGGCTCCCAAGGCATAAGTAGTGACCGCGGTATTGCCCCCCCGGCGGCTGCGGTGGGGCTGGGAGCAGGACAGGCCCCTCCCGCCGGGCTGCGG